TGACAGATTCGGGTGCCGGGGCACCGTTTGTCAGATTGTACTTGATGCCGAAGTCAGCCTTGGGTCCTGTGCAACATGTTAGCCGGTGCTTCGTTTTAGATCGAAAATAAGAGAGTGGAGGACGTACCGCCAGGGTTGTGACTGGCGGTGAGCAGGATTCCACCAGTAGCCTCTCGCTTCCTGATAACATGGCTGGCGGCAGGCGTGCTCAGTATGCCATCTTGTCCGACCAGAATCTTCTTGACTCCATATGCAGCACCGATCTTAGCAATCAATTGAACCACCTCTGGGTTGTAAAATCTTCCATCCCCTCCAATGACAAGGAAGCTGCCTTCTACGCCCTCGGGGATTGAGAGGAGGATACTGGTGACGAAAGCCTCGCTGTAATGGGGTTGTTGGAAGACAGTAACCTTCTTCCGAAGGCCTGACCTATAAAGACGTTAGCTTTTATGGGAATTGGACCAGCGAGCTTCGGAGACGGTGTGTTTGTTGTTGATGTTGTGAGAGGCGACTTACGTTCCAGGCTTCTGGTCAGTGAAGGGCTTCAACGAAACTGTCTGAACACTCATTGTGATGGATAGTGTAGCTGTAGTGACTTGCGGTAGCTTGTAGGGATTATGAGGGATTTCACTGCGCGTGCAATGGATGTCGAAAAAGAGGTCTGTAAATTTGTTGAAGTGGGGCGGAAACTTGAAAGCGCGCGGTGGGGCGGTTGGCCGCAGTAGCTTTTGGCCAACGAAGACCGATAGAAGCCACCACCTGAAAAAGGATCAATATCACCAGGAATATGTCAATCTTTGCTCTATTCGGCCGTATATATGCGCTGTGATAATGGTCACTTCGCGAAACATTTCTCGCGATAGTATTTGGCTTCCTCGATGCTTTCCAAAATGTCTTCTCTGGCCTGATGAAGAAGTTTCTTGGAAGGCACATCCAGTAAGACTGCCTCGGGAGCCCATCTCCTCGCAGCCTCTTTCAGACTACTGACATCCAATATCCGGTAGCTTAGATAGTCCGTGATCCTATTGTAGGGAGGCTTGCTGAGGAATGCCTTGTCACAATGTACGCTGTTACCAGCTAGCAAGCCTCTGCGTCCTTCGGGGACATAATTCTTGACGTATTCGAGTAGACCCTCCGCTGCCTGTTCCTTGGTCGTAGTGGATGCAACGCAAGCTGCTGTCAAGCCTGACGCTCCATGTGTTTTGGTGCACCACTCGCCCATTCGATCTAGAGTAGACTTGTCGTGATGTACGATTGCCTCCCAGCCTTGCTCGTCCTGAAGCTTCAGCTGAGCATCTGTGATGAAGCATGCTATGGACATGATTGTCTCTTTCTCCGGGTCCAATCCGGTCATCTCGCAGTCAATAAATATCAAGGGATCATTAGAACGCATCCTAGCCATTTTTCGCTGTGTCGCTGGACTCGAGCACCACGCTAGATTTTTTGGTAGAAGTGCAGACTTTAAGAAGGAAGAGATCATTGTATTCTCCGCAAAGTGCAAACGCGTGAGAAATGTTTCGGCGCGGATCCGCCGGGAAAACCTCGCTGGAAGAGAGTGAGATCTACAGATGGAAAGAACGATACTTTCTTCAAATTATTTCAGAAATTGAACCCCAAAAAAAGGACAATAGTCATGGTGTAGATACCGCGAATGAGTTGATTGCTCGGTATTTTACATTGTGGACAATGGCTCTGGTTAATGGTCATTCCGGCGGCAGTATCCCTCCAGACTTGATCCAAGAAAGTCGGCCATTGAGCTTCCTCATCATTGGCGCTGGCTCTCGAGGCAATGCATATGCCACTGCTATATCGGAGAATCACACCATCAATGGCTACGTTGGCGCCATAGCAGAGCCCATTACCGGCAAGAGGCATTCGTTCTGGCGAAAGTACGTCTCTGGAAGAAAAGAGCCAAGACCTGGTGAGGTTTTCGAAACCTGGCAGGAATTTCTAGATTACGAACTGGACAGACGAAACAGAAAGGAGAAGAGCGAGCCTGTGCTGAAAGGTGTCGATGGTGTTTTTGTCTGTGTACTGGATGAGATGCACGCCGAGATTATCACTACTCTCGCACCTTTGCATCTACATATCATGAGCGAGAAACCATTGGCAACTACTCTGCAGGACTGCTTGAAAATATATCGTTCTCTGAAGCCTCCAGGGGGTGAGCCTGACCGAGCTATCTTTTCAATCGGCCATGTTCTACGTTACAGTCCTCATAATATGCTACTTCGGCAATTGCTTCTGGAAGATGAAGTGATTGGAGACGTCCTGTCAATCGAACACACCGAGCCCGTGGGCTATTGGCACTTTTCTCATTCTTACGTCAGGTGAGAATGTGTCTAAGCAAGACAAGCTATGACTGACGAGATGACAGGGGCAATTGGCGCAAAGAGTCAATGGGTCCTTCTCTACTTACCAAATCGTGCCATGACATCGATCTGCTACTCTGGTTGCTCTGCTCGCCACCAGCATCATCAACTAATCCGCCCCATCTTCCCTCCAGCGTATCTTCCTCAGGCTCTCTGTTGTACTTCAAAAGGTCACGGAAGCCTGCCTTGGCGGGGAACGCCACCAATTGTCTGTCGTGTCCTGCTGAACCTGAGTGCTTGTATAGCGCCAAGAAGATCTACGTACAAGATCGCTTGGCGAAAGGCATAGCTGGATGGCCCGTTAACATTGTTGCTCCTGAAATCGAAGACTTGATGGGACAAGGCGAGAAAGGCACTGCCATGAGGATGCTGGAAGCGGAGTTAGCAAGAGACTACGACACTAGCACGCCACAGTCTGAAATCGATGGAAAACGATGGTTTGGCCGCTGCGTCTGGGAAGCCGACAACAGTGTCTGCGATGACCAGGTGGTGACTATGACCTGGGAAGAGACTCCACTCCCTTTGAATGGAAGCAAAGGAATCGAGTCCCGTCTCAGAGGAAGAGGCGCAAAAGTTGCAACGTTCCATATGGTAGCCTCGACCGAGAAACAGTGCGAGAGAAGAGGTCGAATCTATGGGACCAAAGGAGAAATTGAGTACGACAGCAAGGCCATCCGAGTCTACGATTTCGCTTCCGAACATGCTCAAATTCATCACCCTCATCAGCCGGGCGGAGGGCATGGTGGAGGCGATGCAGGACTTGTGCAGCAATTTGTAAAAGCGTGTGAGGCCGTGCGCACGCAGGAGATGAATGTGGCTGAAGCTCAACGAGTGCATATTGGATGCACGTTGGACGATGTGATCAGAAGCCATGCTATGGTCTTTGCAGCTGAGGAAGCTCGTAGCGGGAAGAAAGTCGTTGACTGGGCTGAGTGGTGGGTGGCTAATGTAGAAGAGACCATGGACGAAATGGGCAAGAAGAACCTTGATCCGGATATTGGATCATCGACTTGACCCAAAGCCGCGCATCGACTGTTCTCACGAAAAGGGACATGCTGGCCTGCTTTCGACACACTTTTCTAGGAGATGAAGCTGATTACTAGGACAAACACTCCCATCATTATGGAGCACTCTTGCATCCATATCAAGGAAGAGCAATGGTGGATAAACCAAGGTGCATGCATGACTTTCCCACCGCTGCATACCAACATTGGCTTCGCTACAGCTGCATCGCTCGTAAAAGCACGCTGACCCGGATATCGATTTGGTGCTTGCTTGCTCTCAACTGCTGAACCAAAGTCCTTGGTTTGCATCTTTTCCCGAATCAAAGTCCATAGTGGGCTAGATGCGCTTGGGAAGAAAGCAGGAGGAGCATGACCAGAAGCAGGAAGAATACTGAAACTCGTTCTAGGAAGAGTTTCAGATGTCCTTGAGGCCCCGTATGGGTGAGTTGCTCCATGGAAAGCCAATCGTTCTTGTCTGATGAGTTATGACTCTTCGTTCTTGCATCTGGCGCCAAGGGTTCCGCCAAAAAGGGATTAGCGCCACTACAGCTTGGGACCAATCAACGCGTGTGTCTACCTGCCCCAGATTTTACGCGCCAAAGTCACTCGCAACGCTCCAATTGACCGGGCGTCAAGGTGACACCAAAATCACGAAACCTTCGCGACCTTCTGAAAGACCCGGGAATCCTCTGTTCCTCTATATTTGGCCGGCGCCTGGCTATTTGAAAAACTTCTAAACTGGGATAGCGCTTCGCGCTGGTAACTTCTGAGCTATGCCCAATGCTACCTCCTAAAGTTCTAATACGTCAACTGAGGCCTGTATTTTGGCCCAACTGGCAACCCGTACGATGGCGGGGCTACACCAAGGGTCGTCCGCGAGACGCGGTACCCTAGAAATAGCTTGAGACCGAACCCGCCCCGTACTTACTATACTGACGGCGTGACGCGCGACATCGTACTGTCTTGACAGAATGCCATGTTTCAACGGCCATGATGGCCTTGTTGTCTGCCCTAGTAGTCCGCCCAAACCAGTGATGTTACGTTTCAGATCTGTAACATCAGTATGTTGATTCTTGAAGCTTGCTGATATGTTTCATCTCCAATGGTGTAATGGAGAGCGTTCGTCGAGGATAAGTATCGCCCTCAAGTCCTCTCCATCTCCTATCACTTTTTTCCTTCTCCAGAGTTACGAAGCCTCCGACGAAACGTCTCTCAGTGCCCTCTCAACGAATCTCTTAATTTTCATTCTTTCTGTTTCCTACTGCTTCATCATAGACGAGACATCGGAGCCGGTCTCCACTAATACACAGCGCAAGATATACCAGCCTATACTATCACGCATCGCGTAAGCAGTCTGCTGCCCTCTTGGAAACAAAGTCCAACAGTACTCCAAATCTGGAAGCCATGCCTTCTCTCAAACCATACCAATATCGTCCTGCTACGCCCGACCAAGGCGAACACTCGGGGCATAGCCGCAACTCATCAGCGGGAAATTTTTCTATTTGGTCTTCGCCTGGGTCACCGAAGAGTCGAGCAACAACACCAAGCAGTTCTCCAATTATAATCCCGTGCGGGCCCACCCTGCTCCCAAAAATCCGCACTCGGGATCAAGGCCTTGATCAAGATGTCTCTAGCGGCAAAACACATCGCCGAGCTTTTTCTACGAATTGTAATCCGCCAAACCAACCACGACCATCTAGGCCAGGTTTTCAGCGAAGCACGACCAGCCCGCCGCAATGTTCTTCTACACTTACTCCAGTCTCGACCACTTCGACAGTGGACACCTGGGCGGAGAACTCTGTGATCAGCTCTCCCGCACCCTTTTCTTCATCCTATGTTGGCAGATCCTTCGGCCATGTCAGATCCACTTCCACCCCTGCCGTGGATGTTGCTTCTCTGCGACGGTATGGCAATCCGAATTACCGCACTCGTCCCGTCTACCTCACCCAACCATCTCAGTGTCCTAACGCTGTGCTGCCAATTTTGCCAGATTTTGCTTCTTCTGAGTTGTATGTCCCTGTACCGACCGAGTATCGTGATCTCACTCCCGAGCTCTGCCTCGATGGGCCGACAACGACCGTTATGGAGTACTTGACAGGACCAAACCCAGCAGTCGATCTGGTTGATAAGGTCTCCACAAGCATTGGCCACCATATGCATTGCTGGTGGGACATCCGAAATCTGGTAGATTGGGAAGACTTCAGCCTCGACACCATCGTGGCTATTCCTGATTTCTCTTACAGCGAAGAAAGCTCCGGCCTTCTCAACGTTCCCATTCCAGCTGCGGCTCTCCCGAAACCACATGGCAGTCAGTCAATAGTCCAACCCTCCAACGAACGCGGCCTTCAAGACGTCATTACCACATTCTACGCCGCCAAAATCAACGCTGCCCTCAAGACCTGCCAAGGCCACCAACATTACATCACCATGGTCCCGCAGCGCAACAGAGAAGATGGCCCATTCTATGTTTCTGCCTACGCCAACGATGAGACCCACGCGCTCGGCCGTGGCCGTGTCGTCGGCCTCGTCAAGACGTACGAGGCCTGGAACAGCAGCATGAGCAAAGAAAAGAACAGCAAGCAAACGCTCTACCTCGCCGGCCTCTCCCATCTGCACCGCCTGCTGCGCGAAAGCAACACCCGCTACGGCTTCATCATGACGGAAATCGAACTCGTCTGCGTGCGCATGGGCACCGAAGAAGGCAAGCCCTACTTCGGCTACCTCGAACTCGCGCCGCCCATCCGCCTGAGCGAGCAGACGGGCCTGACGGCCTGCCTGGCGCTGTGGTACCTCCACATGCTGGCCGGGGACGCCCCGTTGGAGGGCCAGCGCGGCTACCGGATCGACGTCGGCCCGCCGGGTCCGCCGCCCGGCAGCAGCGGTCTGCTGTCGAGGCAGCACGTGCGGAAGCCGGGGCCCGAGGGACGGGACGGGTGGATGCAGCGCGTCCAGGAGGGCGAGAAGAGGTCGGCGAGGCGGACCCGGGGCTGGGTCTTCCCCGAGGAACCCTTCTCGATCAAGGAGAGACAGGCGATGAAGGCCGGGAGGTAAGGAGGCCGTTTCCCGGGAAGCTCGGCTGGTCCGGGCTTGGGGTCCGATCCGGTGGTTGATCCACCGGTCTACGATTCGATTAATCTTTGTTTGTTTGTTTGCTTGCTTGCTTGCATGCATAGCGATGGAGTTTGCATGGATGCCATACCCATGGGTTTGGAGCATTCACTTGGGGGCGTCGGGGCATGGATGTGTCCTCGGTCACGCATTTCATGTGGCGTCAACCTCGCTGGAAACGCGATTTCATTTACCTATCCATTCAACCTTTTACCGTGCGTATCATCGCTTCATGCATTTTCCTCAGTATCGAGCATTTGCACAGGATTGGAGCATTGGTCGGAGTATCACATTAGCCGTATTTACATTCTGTCGAAGTGTGGGACATTCGCAAACTAAACCTCAAAATCTTGTTCGGGTGCAACGCCAAATCACCGGGTGATGGGTGATGTGTCACAGGAAAACTGAAAATTTCGCAGGATCAATAGTCGTCGAGCTATGTACGGACATGTGGCGAATATATACAAATGTACGCCATTTGCAAAAGTAAATTGACCTCTGACACCCCCTCTCTTTGTACATTACGTGTACCCGGAGTCTTCAATCTCTTGCCTTTTCCAGCTAATCAGGACAAAAGCCTTTTCATTACGAAAGCGCCTAGCTCTTCTACCCGCTGCGCGCTCCCCATGTCACCAAAAGCCAGGCAGCAACCACAGCCACGCATCTTCGCCGTCCACAAAGACATCGAAGACACGACTGAGTTTCTCTCTGTTTCATAGCCAAGGCCATCTGTTGCGCCTAAAATCAGGTCGCCGTAAATCGGAGGTTCAGGTTTATTACCCTACATCTGACTCCCTGTCTTCGGCGGCTTCTTACTCGCCTCCAGATCTACCAGACGGTTGCGGTCGCAGCTGGGTAAGGGTGGTAGGAGTTTCAATGCGTGTCAGCCTGCGGCTCGCTTCGTTTCGCTTCGTTTCGCTTCACTCTGCGGCAGCGTTAAGTACGAGCAGGACGGTCGCCTGTCAGACAGCCCGATCTGGCTTGGGGGCTGATTCAATGGCGCCGAATGGGGCTTTTTCCTGAAACCGCCAAGGCGACGAAGGTGGAGCTGTTGCAAAGTTGTCTGCATCTCTTTAAGCACTAGGGTGCCAAGATTGTTCATTTTTAGGCAAGTTTCCATCATCAGCGCCTTTCGCTGTCTTCCTTCTCCACCTCATAGAAAAGCATGTAAACTTCCTTCTGCATCGACAGTACTTCGCTAGTTTTGCACTCCTTGACTTTGTCGTCGCTGATGCGCCACCAGCGATCGACAGGTCGTTTCTTGCGCTTGAACCGGCTGACGTCCATCGTCGAAGATTTGGAAGTGTTTGCTGTGGTAGGTCTGGACTTCTGTTCTTGGTTCAGAAGACGGTCTTTCACACCGTCGATTCCTGTTGGAGCCTGTTTTTTGGCTGTTGACACGTCGGATTCTTTGTGGGCGTGCGTCCCATTCATTGATCCTGATGATGGACGTGTGGAAGGTGGTGATTGCGAGTTCGAGGAGGGTGAGGCAGATGAAGAAGAGATCCGCCCGGTGGTATCTGGATTCGAACTTGAAGCATTCGTCTCCTGGGACAGATTTGGCGATTCTGCAGATACTTGCGGACTTGGTAATGTCGACCTAGATTGACTGGGGGTTGCACTATATGGACCAGATGCATTGACCACATGTGGCGTCGAGTAAGGAGCATATAGATGCTGTCTTCGAAACGTCTCGTAGTGGCCGCTATTGTGAGTTCCCTTGTGGGTGACCATGCCTAGCAGCTTGTAAATTCTTCGATTCAGCAATCCGCCTACGGGCAATTTTTCTGGAAATGTCACTTTTGCTAAATTTTTGGTTGAGCTGCTGCGTGGATCGAAGACGGATCTCGACAAATGTACGACGAGCACTTTGGGGAAAGTAGTGAATTCGATGTGACGGGCTATCCTACGTTTGGGCGCTAGCTTTGTGTCTGGTAGTTCGACCCCTTCTGGCGCCTTCTCGGGATCGTCCTGCAACGCTCTCCGTAACTTCTCTATTGAAGTCTGTATCATCGCTTTCCGCTCATCAGACCTCGCACGCTCGTATTCCTTGGAGTAGGCTTCCACAGCATGTTCGAGGCGGCATTTATCACACTTGTAGTCGTCAATGAATTCCGTTTTGAAGTGAGCATCAAAACACTCGTTGAGCGTCGTCGAGCTCTTCTGTGGTACCATAAGATTGAGCATGACGAAGCCTGTCGGGCTCGCTTTAGGTACAAAATGGCAAAATTGGCACTCTGTACGCGCTTCCGTCTGACCTTCAAGTGGGAAACCGTCCTCTTCTTCTGCCAGAGGGTCTATTTCGTCTTCATTCACAGGCTCCTGGGTCGTTGGCGCATTTGTGGCAGCGTCATTAATCTCAGTGTCTGCACCCCCATCCGTAGTGTTGGCTTCCTTTGGTGGAGAAGCTTCTGGCTGTGTCAACTCCGCATTCGATACAACGCCGTTCTGTGCTGTGCGGGCTCTTTTCCTGGCTTCTTGACCAGCATGATATTCCTCTGACAGCCTCTCGGCCACAATCTGCAGCAGCTCCTGCGCATCCTGCTGGGATTTGCTTATTCTTGTCCCAAACGCGTGTTCTAGAACTCTTATGAAGTTCGCGGCGGAAATTGTCTTCTTGTAGATTGGCCGCTCGTTCAAACGATCGATCATGTTCTTCAATCCCAGTGTGACCTCGCCACTCTGCAAGCTAGCGAGCTTCCTACCGTCCACCTCTTTGCCATTGCTATCCACGAGAGGTACTGCAGCGTAAACTTCGGGACCTCCCAGTTCCCTTCGATGTATTTCTCGTATCAAGTAAAGTCGTAGATCGCCAAGACCAGCTAGGGACTGAAGGATGGAATTGATGAAGCAGTCGTTGGCTGGATTGAACAAGCCTACGATACCCTTCTTGCGGGTGCTCGCTGAGCTCGTGGATGAGTCACTATCGATGAGGTAGTTGGGGTTGAAGAAATAGACAAGAGCGACTGCGGCGAGTGAGGCGCTCGCAGCGTAGGTGAGGACGGTGAGTGGTCTGTCGGGCATCATGTATGCTATCGCTTCGCCATAGCTGGGAAGTCTGACCGGAAACTTCTTTCTAAGGATAGGCTTCTGGGAGTGATAGAATATGCGGCGCCTGAGGGTCTTTATGCCGGCGGTCAAACAGAGGGCCGGGTAAAGTAGACGGAGCGAGAATAGTCTCCAACAGAGTGGGGGTTGCCTGTTAAGGGTGGCTTCGTATGGCGAGGGCAAAGGGCGTTCCTGCTTCGGAATTGCTGCAGCGTGCTTCCTGTGTTGCGATTAGATGCGCTTGTATGTTTGCAATTGCCTGCAAATGCGTGAAATGGCGGGTTTACTTGCTGCTGGCGATATTCTTTCTCTCCGCATGCCGCATCTCATCTTCATAGGGCTGAGACTAGCTCCAGATTCCGAGAGATCAAGCCAAAGCTTTTAATTCCTTCCTCATTCTTTACTAACCCGTATCAACTATCATGGCTGCGCTTTCGATTCCCAACAGATCTAATCTATGCTCATCATGTATACGGTGGATAGCGGGAGGCGACATCTCGCAGCTATGGTTTCCTTTTCACCGGCAATTGCGAGGGAAGAAGAAGTCTACGAAACTACCAACTACAATCAATGTGAAGCTATTGGAGGATATCAAAGGCTTTGGGCGAAAGGGTGACGCACAACGTGCTGTAATTGTCAGTCGGTGTACTGATAGTTGTGATTGTAGGTTCCATCTGCCCTGTTGAGCCGGGTCGTATGCGAAACACTTGGTATCCGAGGCAAAAGGCGGAATATATGACCACGTCTACATTACAAGGTCTAAAGCCACAGAGTCTAGTCGCCGAGCGAGACTTTACGTTCGGCATGGAGCCGAAGGAGGAGCCGGCTCCAAAGGAGAAGATGCCGGAGAAGGAGAGAGTGGTCGAGGTCCAGACAAACCTCCTGGCAGTACGCGTTTCCTACGCTATTTCTGGGCGATGGCGGAGACTGACAATGAAAGCAGCCACAACGAGCTTCAGAAATCATAGAGGCATCCTTGCCCCCAAGTCTCATATTTTACAGGACTCCCATAAGCGCCCCTGAGCCGGAAGCCCCCATTCATCAACCGCCCAGCCGATCAAGAAGAGCCACCAGCTCAGCCGCTGCAGAACTTGAGGCGGCGTCAGTGCCTTTGCCGAAACCCTCCCAGCCTCAATTGATCACTATATTTGGTTCTGTGTCCACCGCAGATATGGCGGAATCGATAAAGGCAGTCCTGGCAGAAAAATCGGGAGGAGCAAGGGTCGTAATCGGGGCAGAAGATATAGCCATTGTCCAAGATGAGGATGATGAGTTGGGGCATCAAGATAAAGGCATCGAAGGAGATAGGTTGAAGGCGTTAGGCGACTTCCAAGTGGCAATACGGGTCAAAGGCGGAGAGGCGGTAGTCAGAACCGTGAGCGTGAAAGCACAGGAGACCAGCCAGGCATAGCTGTTCACCATCAACACAACAGCTGAGCGCCCGTTTGTTGGCATGCATCGAAGCACGCGTGGATCCTTTTCCGCACCACGCATCTATGACTTCAGGCTCCCAAATGAGTCAGCGGATAGATAGTGAGGCCCGTGCTATAGTGGAAGAGAAGTCCCATCGAGGTCAAGGGTCGTCGCGTGACAAGGACTCAAGGAGAGTGAAAATTCGGGGTCGTGTGCCAAGGATATTGTAAAAGTAGCTCTTCTGGGCAGTATTTACGCGAGTAGGAATGTTTGCAACTTTTTCAGTCCTGATGAGGATAGGATGCCCATGATGCATAGCGTGTTCTCCACTACTCGTATTCACTGAAAGAATAATTACTCTGTTCAAAATTTACGAGCGGGCTCCTCCGCGATAGGAGCGAACAGGATATTTATAGCACAGTAGTAAAAGGCCTGACTTTCTTAGCTTCCGAATAACCTGTGAGACAACAATGGAATCCCTTGCAACATCTTCAATCTTTTGTCTTGCACCCTATCATTCGCTTAATCTTTGTCATCACTGTATACCCTCTATACAAGACCTTTCTTTGATTCAATCTGCTTTGACTGTCCTCATCAATTGCATTCACCGCCAAACCAGCTTCTCAGTCCTACAGCATCCAAGCCGTTGCCAAGATCCAACACCGGACTTGTGGAGAGCTGTCATCGCTCTCAAACGGTCTGAGAGTCTCCATGTCTTGCTTGAGCTTCATGTGACCTGATCGTCGTGTCTGTCTGACTTCCCGAACTTCCTTCCATACCAAACGAGCCTCGAAAAGTCGAACCTCCCCTGCCGCAACAATGTCAGACCCAACAGCTGGGACGGTAGATGTCCAAGACTGCGCGCAGTTGAAGGGAGCTCAGCAGCTCTTGTGTTTAGTTGCAGACCCTTTTTCCAACACTGTAAGCTTTTGAACGTCCCTGTGCAAAAGCCATCTTTACTTACAATCGCACCTAGTTTCACCAAATCGCCGTCTTTTCCGCCTTGGGATACTCCGTGGGAACAATGATTCTGATCACTCTCGCCTTCTCTATAATGCGACCTCATAATTCGGTCGTCTACGCCCCAAAGTTGAAATATGCAGATGACAAGCATGCTCCGCCGCGGATTGGGAAAGGCATGTTTGCCTGGTTCTGGCCGGTTGCTTCAATAAAGGAAGCAGAGCTTGTAGAAAAGGTTGGGCTTGATGCTGCAGTATTTCTACGGTTCACGAAAATGTGCAGGAATATATTCGCCTTGGTGACAATCGTCGCGATTGCCATCTTGCTACCAGCCAACGTCATCAGTAGCAAAAAGCATGCACCCGGAGTGGTCAGTCACGGCTTCTTAACCCTCAGTACTCCCCAGTATGTCGCGGGGCCAGCTTTATGGGTTCATGTTGTCTGTGCCTGGGCAATCAACATCATCGTGGCTTTCTTTCTGTGGCGAAACTATGCGGCAGTCACACGATTGAGAAGGCAATATTTCGAGAGCGCTGAATACCTAACAGCGCTGCATTCGCGGACCCTGATGCTCACGGATATTTCCACAGCCTCACGGACTGACGAGGGTATCTTACGCTTGACAGATGAGGTGGAACAGACAAGTGGTTTACCTCGAGCAGCAATAGCTCGCAATGTGAAGGAGCTTCCAGAATTGATTGAAGAGCACGACCAGGCAGTCAGGGAGTTGGAGAGGGTATTGGCGAAGTATTTGAAGAACCCAGACAGCCTCCCAGCGAATCGCCCTACAATAACGCCATCCAAGAAATACCGTAAGAATAATGGTGGTCAGAAAGTGGATGCGATTGATTATCTTACTGATCGAATCAGCGAGCTGGAGATGGAAATCAAGCATGTGCGAGAATCAATCGACAAGCGTAATCCTATGCCCTTCGGGTTTGCCAGTTATGAGAGGATCGAGGACGCGCATACCGTGGCATATGCGGCAAAGAAGAAACATCCTCACGGCACGACGATCAAAATGGCCCCAAGACCCAACGATCTCATTTGGAAGAATCTACCGTTATCGAAGAAAGACAGGAACTGGAAGCGATTTATCAACAATTTTTGGATTGCCATTCTGACCCTTATCTGGGTTGCTCCCAACGCGCTGATTGGTATTTTCCTGTCAAATTTGAGCAACCTGGCCAATATTTGGGGAGGATTCAAGAAAGAATTCCACCATCACTCGACGTTCTGGTCCATCGTGCAAGGTATCGCTTCTCCGGCGTTGACCTCTCTGGTCTATCTGATACTTCCCATCATTTTCAGAAGGCTCTCTATCCATGCTGGTGACACAACAAAAACTTCTCGAGAGCGTCATGTCGCTACTAAACTATACGCCTTCTTCGTCTTCAATAATTTGGTCGTCTTCTCCACGTTCTCCGTGATATTCACGTTCGTACAGGGGGTCGTCCTGAATCCGCATCATGTGGGCGCCTGGGATGCAATAAAACAAGGCGACTTTCTGCTTCATTTGGTATACGGCCTATGCCAAGAATCGCCATTCTGGTTGACTTGGCTTTTGCAACGCAATCTGGGCGCTGCCGCAGACCTCGCACAGGTACTCAACCTTACGTGGGGCTGGTTCAACAGAACGTTCATGAGCCCCACACCTCGACAAAGTATTGAATGGACAGCCCCACCGGCTATCGATTATGCCGTCTACTACAATTACTTCCTCTTCTACGCCACAGTAGCCCTTTGTTTCGTCACCGTCCAACCTCTCGTCATCCCAATCACTGCCTTTTACTTCGCCGTCGACTACTGGCTTAAAAAGTATCTTCTACTTTATGTCCTGATCACGAAAACGGAATCTGGTGGTCAATACTGGCGGATACTCTTCAATCGCCTCGTCTTCGCAACCATATTCGCTGATTTCATCATCGCTCTCATCCTCAAATCCGCAGGCACATGGGTCATGATCGGTGTGATGGCGCCGCTTCCGCTCCTGCTCATCGGGTTCAAACTGTATTGCGCCTCCACTTTTGACGACCAGAACGAATTCTACACTCGAGCTACGCTCAAAGATCCCGAACACCTCACGGACGCAGGGCATAAGACCCGCAAGAACGATCGTGTCGGTACCAAGTTTGGCCACCCAGCTCTTTACTCCAAACTCATGACACCCATGGTCCACGCCAAAGCTCAACACGTCATCGCGCAAGTCTACCGCGGCCGCCTCAATTCCGAGAACAACATGTCAACGCCCATGGGCTACTCAGACATCGCCATGGATCCCATGTCCAGAGATGTCCCTGGCAAAACCGCAAGATTTGCGCCTGAGCAGCAGAAAGAGAGAAACATGTTCGAAGTTGTCCCAGAGTCTCATCTCGACTTTGGATACTTTAAAGACAGGACAGATTTCTCCGAGGAGCATGGTGGCGATGGAGAACTTTACGGACGTGCTCAGGATCTCGTGTCGGAACGTAGCAGCACACCCAAGTCCTTTTTGGGAAGGGATGGTGGCTCTCCGTCCAGTTCTAGAGCGTCGAGTCCCGGGCCCGAAGGTGACTTGGGGAGACAAAGTCCGCAGGAACCGCGACAGATGCATCCAGCCTACCGGGATCGATCTCGTCAATCGAGTGGCGGAAGAGGTAATCTCTACAGTAATGGCAACGAAAGCGAGCGGGATCTATTGAGCGGCGCGCAACCCGTTGGGACTACAGAAAACGAGCAACAGTACGGGCTAGATAGATGGAGGACGGGCGGAACTGGATACATAGGGGTACCCCAGGGCGAGGAGACGGGGTATGAGGCCTACAGAGGTGGAGGTAGGTGAGGAAAAGGTTCTCGGGGGAGAAGGAAAAGTGCTGTAAATAGAGGGATGTCAGGGGCTTGGGCGTACATAAAAAAAACCCCCCCGGGGGCTTATGATAACGACGGTGGTGTTTTGTATTTTTTTTCTTGGATGCATCGCTTGCAGGAGGCTAGATTGATCATCGGTATCTGCAGAAATGAAAGAAGCCGCCACCGGTTGTACGATCTAGATTCCCCAGCGCAGCCGCTGATACGTTGGCCCTAATTCTACCTACGTATCCCGGCGACAGTGATTTATGGATACTCAAACATCCGGAGGCACCACCGCCATAGCCAAACCATGTGCGCTTTTGTGCACCAGCAGTCGATTCCTTCGATTCCCATGTCCAATACACTGTATCGATAACTGACGCGGAAATGGTGGATCCTAATGGCGAGAATGTCTCCTGTTGTTCGGCTTGCTCAAGCGCGGAGATTACCATGTGCATCTCCGTTTATCATTGATTGATTCATTCACTTTGTCAACACTTTCGCTCCCGTTCCATATGTCTACCTCGGGTCAGATATCCAATTGCCAGCCCTCGGCCATATGCATCCACCTTCAAGAACGGACACCGCGCTAGACTCGGTCTACACCCCACTCACAAATACTCATCGTCCATCATCCTCAGATCCGGGCCCCAGGGCGGTCTCGGGATCCTCTCGTCCCGACTCGCAGGCTGCTTCGCCCCGTCACCCGCCACGAAGCCCGCCAGATAGCCCACCAGACTCGCAACCAGCTTGACCATGATCCTCGCGACGTGATAGAACGGCGCCATCACGGTCCCAACAGCCGTGTGTCTATACACCACTTTCGCCAGTACGAACGGCGGGCGGGGGGCGTTGATGTCGACGCCATAACCCACCATGCTTCTCGCGTAGATCGGATGGCAGAAGCGGGCTCGAGCCCACATCTCGCCCCAGTACAGCGCCCATGCTAGGAGGGTGAAGACGCCGAGCCAGGTGAGACGAGGCCGCCAGTCGTCTCTGCGCCATCGCCAGAGGCGGGGGATGGGGATAGTGAGGGAGGTGATGTGGTCGCGGAGGTCGAGAAGGGGTTGCAGGTCTGGCTCCATGCGGCCTGGGCAGCCGCAGCGCTGGCAGGGCCAGATGAAGTCGTGGAATTCGCCTCCTTCGGTGCACTCGCCTTGGTCGCGCTCTGCTACGGTCTGGGTTTGATGGATGGATGGAGAGGCGGAG